AGACAATGTATTGCATTGGGCAGATCTGCTGCAAAAGACCTCTTTCAAGTGCTGAAGAGCAAAGAATTCTCCTTGAAGACTAAGGTGAGCTCAGGTAGCATAGTGCCTAAGGCACTAGACTGCTAACCAGAAGGCTTGTGGTTCAAACCCACCAGCCACTCCTCAGAAGGAAGGTTGGGCAATCTCTTCTGTAGTGATACTGTCTCGGAAACCCAAAGAGGGGTCGCTGTGAGTTGGGTCTGACTTGATGGCACATAACAACACAACAACAACCCAAGCCATGGTATTTTCAGTCACCTCATATGCATGTGAGAGCTGGACAGTGAATAAGGAAGACCAAAGAAGAATTGATGCTTTTGAGTTGTGGTGTTAGTAAAGAATACTGAAAGTACCATGACTGCTAAAAAACTAACAAATCTGTCCTGGAAGAAGTACAGCCAGAATGCTTTTTGGAGGTGGGAATGGCCAGACATCGTGTCACCTCCTTTGATCATGTTGTCAGAAGGGACCATTCTCTGGAGAAGGATATCATGCTTGGTAAAACCAAAAAAACCAAACTCACTGCCGTCGAGTTGGATCCAACTCATAGCAACCCCTCCTTGGGTTACTGAGGCGGTATAACTACGGAAATAGATATTGCCCAATCTTCCTTCAGGGAAGTGGCTCGTGGGTTTACTGCCAGCCTTCTGGTTAGCAGTCAATGCCTTAGGCACCACGCCACCAGAGCTCCTATGCTTGGTAAAGTGGAGGGTCAGTGAAAAAGGGAAGGCCCTCAACAAGGTGGATTGACACAGTGGCTATAACAATGGGCTCAGGTATAGGAAGGATTGTGAGGCTGGCGCAGGAACAGGGAGTGTTTCGTTCTGTTGTACATAAGGTCGCTATGAGTCGGAGACGACTCAAGGGAACCTAATAACAATACAAGTTTACAATTCTTAATGCGCAAAAAAGGGTATATGGTAAATAGTTTCCCTCTTACACTTGCCCCCAGCTAGCTTTCTCATCCCAATTTTAACCAGTATTACTTAGCTGTGTCTTGTCCAGACATCTTGTGTGTCTATGTTATATGGGTGTATGTTTGTGTGTGTGTGTGCGCGCGTGTGCATATCCGTTTATATACATATATTTGTGTGTGTGTGTGTGTATGAAAAAAGAAAAATCAAACTCACTGCCATCCACTTTATTCCAACTCATAGCAACCCCCATTGGGTTTCCGAGGCAATAAATCTTTACAGAAGTAGAGTGCCTCCTATTCCTTCTGTGGGGTGGCTGGTGAGTGTGAACTGCCAGCCTTCTGGTTAGCAGTCAAATGTGTTAGGCTGGTGCGCTCCTTTTGCATGCACGTGCGCGGGTGTGTAAATATTGTGGTTTGGTTCCAGACAACTGTAATAAAGTGAAAATTGTATGCAATAAATTAAATTGCAAAAATTTTTTTGTTTCCCAGTGCATATAAAAGTATATAGTCTATTAAGTATGCAATAGCATGATGAAAAAGTTTGAAATACAAAGATTACCAAAATGCAACACAGAGACACGAAGTGAGCACATGTAGGAAAAACGTTGCAGGTAGACTTGCTTTACACAGGTTGCCACAAACCCTCCAATTTGTAAAATATGCAGTATCTGTGAAGCACAAAAAAGCAAAGTGCAATAAAACGAGCTATGCATACACATCATACATATGTATTTTTTGCATTTATCCTGTGTACAGTGTTCTATAACTCATTCTGTAGACATCTTTATTGAGATATGGCTTGCATACCATACAGTTCACACAATATACCTTGCTTTTAAAATAAGTTATTTTAAAGTAGTTAAAACTCATAAGTTCCTATTTAAGGTTTAAAGGATTTTTCATTCTATTACTAATGTAAATGCGCTAAAATATGTACGAAAAGAAATTACTTCATTTTCTGCTAATTGGTACGTGGAATTTGAACCCAGGCAATCTGACTTTAGAGGCCATGTACTCAACTACTGTGATACTACTGTTGCCACTCAGCAGTCACTTTTTATATTCAGAAGGTTTTTTTTTTTTTTTTTTAATATATAACATTTTTTAATGAGTTATTATTTGCCATGTTTCTCAGTAAGAGAGAGGGTGTTATTGGTACAAGTCTCTGTGTAAGATCCCTGCCTTCCTGCTCCACTCACTAAATGTCCCACCTCCCCAGTCATTGTGGCATCATTAGAAACTGCTTCCCATTTCTGTTTTCTTCCATTGTGTATTATTGGGCATGCTCCTCTGGTTGAAAACTGTCTATAGATGGCTGACCGTAAAACCAAAAACCAAACTCACTGCCAAAGGGTCAAGTTTGACTCATAGAGAGCTTAAAGGACAGAGTAGAACTGTCCTCTAGGGATTTACATCTAGGCTGTAAATCTTTACAAACCAGACTGACTGCCTCATTTTTATCCTGCCCGCTGGTGGGTTCATCCCGCCCATCTTTTGGTTAGTAGCTGAATGCCTTAACCACAGCACCACCAGAGCTGAGCTTACTAATAAAATAAAGGTCTGTCTTCTGTTGGAATCTTATTACTAACTTCAACTGGTTGATCTTAGATGTACTTCAAACCAACAAGGTTTTCTTCTTCTTTTTATTTTTTTTGTGGTGGTGGTGGTGGTGAGAATATACATAGCAGAACATATATTAATTCAACCATTTCTACACATATAGTCAGTGACATAGATTACATTCTTCAAGTTGTGCAACCATTCTCACCTTCTTGCAAGTTGTTGGCAGTGTCTTCTTTCAGGCCAAACTTCTGTTCACTGATCTGCATATAGGATTTCTGGAGCCTTCCTTTTCCTGTTTGTTCTCCTTAGATCAGCATGTCAGTATCCTTAAAATAAGAATATGGAACCTAGTAAGCCTTTTACATCATTTATTATAGATTCTATATTTCTATTACTCATACCCTAGATTACTTTGGTAGCAAATCATACTGTTAACCATCTTTGTGCTTGTTAATGGATTGAATTGGGTCCCCAAAAAGTATGTTTTGTAAATCCTAATCCCCATATCTGTGGTTATAATCCCATTTGGGAATGGATTTTTTTTAATGTTAATGAGACAGTATTAGTGTAAAGTGTGTCTTAAATCAACCTGTTTTGAGACATAAAAGAGATTAAACTAGGGGAAAAGAGATGCCAAGCCATGGGAAGATTGCCCAGGAGCAGACGCTCAGAAGAGACGAGGACCTTACCCTCGAGCCAACAGAGAGAGAACACCTTCCCCTAAGAGCCATTGCCCTCAGTTTGGACTTTCAGCCTGCTTAAACTGTGAGAAAATTAATTTCTGTTTATTAAAGCCATCCTCTTGTATTTCTGTGAGAGCAGCACTAGGTTACAGCACTTGTAATCATCTAAAACCCTGAGGTCTTTATCATTTCAGTTGCTTTTGGGCCAGATTGCCCTCATCTGGGTTTTGTAAAATTAAAGTACGAGAGAACTATATGTATTCCTTCTAAATCAAGTCTTCATTTTGGCGCATGGTTCTGCCTGAAGAATTTTTTGTTATTGTTTGGTTCTGTTAGTAATCTGTCAATTTTCTTTCCTCCTATCATCTACAAAGTTGATACGCATGTTGTTTATATCTTTAGTCAAGTTCTGGTTTTAAAATCTTCAGTAGAACTCTGTGACGTGCTCTTAGATATTTCTTTCCATAATGATACAGTACCTTTAATCAAGTAATTAATTGTTAGCACATTCTTGTGTAGTCAGACCTGTATGCGTGTATATGGTAGATTGCAGTAAAGCATCTGGGATAATAGATGGGAGGAGAATTTGCTTTTAGATGATTGGATTTTCTTCTTGAAGATTGATTCTCTGTGCTAGCTAATACAGTAATTTTTAGGAAATTTTTTTTTTTCTCAGAATTACTCAAAAATAGCTCATGATTTGTGATAACAAAGAGATGTACAAATAGATCAGAATTTTATTAGAGTTGCATCTGTTAGGAAAGTCCTTGGTGTGCTCTAAGAATGCCCATGTATATAATAGTGCTAACAAGGAGCAAAGTTACGATAACTTCTTAGCTACAGCCACCCATTCTAAAGGACCAAGTAGTTGGACCTCTGGGCTTGGGACCATGGTCACGGGATATCAAGCTCAATTGGCATAACATACTACACAAAACATTGTTCTACATGCTACTTTGATGAGTAGCAACTGGAGTCTTAAAAGCTTGGAAGCGGCGATCTAGATGCAACAATGGATCTCTCCTTATCCAAAGCAAAGAAAAATGAAGAAAACGAAAGACACATGGAAACAATTAATCCAGGGGACTAGTGGACCATGTGAACCTCAGTCTATATGACCATGAGACCAAAAGAACTAGGTGGTGCCCAGCTACCACCGTCAATCACTTGGAAAAGGATCAGTACAGGGATCTTAGAGTGGGAGAACAATGTGGAACAAAACTCAAAATCATAAAAACCAGTTTTAATGGCCTGATCCAGCCTGGCGAAACCTCTGAGACTATGGCCCCTAGCTATCCTTCAGGTCTGGACTTGACCAAAGAATAGACAGGCATATAGAGTGAACATTTACATCAGATGAATATAGTACACTCCTTAGAAAGATCAATCATGGGAGAACAGAAGAGCAGTATTTGCACAGGGAGATAGCTCAGGAGCAGGAACGCATAGGAAAGAAGGACACAGAGAAGAGGTAACTACAGGGAGGAAATGGGAAGAGAGCTGTTACATTGTGGGGAATTGCAGTCAATGTCATGAAACAAAATGGTTATCAGCTGCTATATGGAAAATTAATTTGCTCTGTAATTTTTCACCCAAATAACAATAAAAAAGGAAAAATGCTCTTGTATATTGAATATTGTTAGGGGGAAATAGACCATCTCTGTGGGCCCAGGGGCTTGGTGGTATTAAAGGGCAGTGGTTTTGGATTTAACTTTTTTTTTTTCGTATAAGGACTACCTCTTTTTATTGACCAGGGTTTGTCCTGTTAACTAAGAAAAAGCTTTATTATTTTTTCTCAGCTTGCTGAACTAAAGCAGGAATGTCTTGCTCGTGGTTTGGAGACCAAGGGAATAAAACAAGATCTCATCAGCAGGCTCCAGGCATACCTTGAAGAGCATGGTGAGTGCTTCGTGGAGGCACGGAGTTGATGTGAGTGAGGAGATTAATTTTGGGTCTCTGTCATGTAGAAGATTTCCTCTTTTCATTTAGGTTGTTGGTGATCTAAGTGCTTAATTCCCTGCATCAAGGGAAACGGTCTTTGTCATCCAAAACAGTGGCTGTATGCAAAGAAATAATCCTTTTTTTTAACATTATAATTTTATTTCAGCAAGTTATTTAAAAGGTTACATAGTAATACAAGTGTCATTAACCGGAGAATTGGAAGACTTGAGTTTTAATTCCTATTAAGCCAGAAATTGTTAGGGTACCTTAGACAGTCACTTTTTACATGGCTAAATGTTTGATCCTGATCTGTGAAATAAGAAATGTGTTTTTGACCCTTGAAATCCATAAACCTAGGTAATTTCTGGTCCCTTCTAGCTCTGACATTTTCCTAATCTGCCCTTTAAACCAAACAAAGCATGTTTAAGACATACTGTGATCTTAGGTCATACAAGTCCCCTCTTTAATTTTTATTTATGTATTTATTGCCACTCCAGAGTCCTTTCACTCTCTTTCCCCTCTTAGGCACTCATTCTAATATGTTTGGTATGTATTTTTCATCTTTGTTCCTGTAAGCCGTATAGTATTGTTTGGTATACAGTATTTATGTAAATGCTGCAAATAAAATAGCCTCATCATATTTCTCACTTTTTTCACAAAATACTGTCGTTCTTAAAGATGTATCATTGTGGTATGTGACTGTATGATCAACCTGTCTGTTGATTCTAGTTGCTGCATAGTATTCTATGATGCATAGCCCCCACATTTTTACTGAATTCATCAAAAAAAAAAAAAAAACTCTTGCCATCGAGTCAGATCCAACTCATAGCGACCCCTTCTTGGGTTTCTAAGGTGGTATCACTACGGAAGTAGATTGCCCAACCTTCCTTCCAAGGAGTGGCTGGTGAATTTGAACCGCCAGGCTTCTGGTTAGCAGTCAAATGCCTTAGCCACTATGCCACCAGAATCCAGTAACAAGCACTTATATTACTTTTAAGTCCCTACTGCTGAAAGTAACACTGGGATAAACTACTTCTTTCATAACCCCTTCTGTTCCTCTGTGAGAATCTTTCTGGGATATATACCCAGCAATGAGACTGCTAGGCGATATATATTTGTAAATGTGCTCTTACTATGACTAAGCACTGCCAAATTGTTTTTCTAGGATTGCTGCATAAATCTGTATTCTCATCAGTAGTACATGAGGGTTCTTATATTTCCACAAACTTAACTTGGCATTATCCTTTCAGGTTATCCTAATTTTTGCTAATCTGTTGATTTCATTTTAATTTCTCAAATATTAGAAAGTTTAAACATTTCTTGTGTTCATGCTTATTTGGATTTCTTCTTCTTTGCCTATTTTTCTATTGGAGTTCCTATCATTAGCTTGTTGGTTTGCAGGAATTTCTTTTATATTCTAGTATTTATTCCTTTGTTGGTTTAGACATAAGTATTCTCTGTTTGCTTTGTCCATGATGTTCTTTTTATAAAAAAGCAGAAAACAAAACCCACTGCCATCGAGTTGATTCCAACTCATTGCGACCCAATTGGGTTTCCAAGGCGATAAATATTTACAGAAGTAAATTGCCCTGTCTTCTTCCCATGGAGTGGCTGGTGTATTTGAACTGCCAACCTTTTGGTTAGCAGTCAGATGCCTTAGGCATTACACCATCAGAGCTCCTTTCTTTGTTATTTAACCAAAAAACCAAACCAACTGCCATCGAGTCGATTTCAACTCATAGGTACCCTTCCTTGGGTTTCCGAGGCAGTATCTCTATGGAAGTAGATTGCACAGCCTTACTTCTGAGGAGAGGCTGGTGGGTTTGAACCACCCGCTTTCTGGTTAGCAGTCAAATACCTTTGGCACTACGCCACCAGAGCTCTCTCTTTGTTATATAGAATTCATTAATTTGAAAAACTGTTTAAGGGACCAGGTTTGCTGGTCCAATAGAGCCTGGTGGAACCACTGAGACTATGGCCCCTAGCTGCCCTTCAGGTCTGGAATTGAACCCACACCTGTGGTTTCCAGCCAAACAAAGTACAGGCATGTGAGTTAAACATTTACCTCAAGTAGACACATGCCCTGGAGAGAACAATCATGGGAGAAGGAAGGGCTGCTTATGCACAGGGAGGCAGCTCAGGGGGCAGGAGAGTATGGAGGGATGGACACTGGGAAGTGGTACTATAGGGAGGAAGATGGAGGAGAGCTGTTGCATTGTGGTAAACTGTGGTCAATGACATGAGACAAAGTATATGTGAACTGCTGTATGGAAAGTGAATTTGCTCTGTAAATCTTCACCCAAATCACAATAAATTAAAAAAAAGAAAAAAAAACTGTTTAATTTTTTATTATACGCCTATTATTTTTGCTTCTGAGGTTTTTAGAAATTCTTCCCACCATTAAATCTCAAAGATACTCTCTCACATTACCTTTTATTAATTTTGTAGTTTCACCTCACCTCATGTAGTTTTTCAATCCTAGTAGAATTCAATTTTATATTGTTAGGTACAGTTACAGTTATTATCGTCTTCATATGGAGCAAATTTTATAAGAGCATCAGTTCTTCCTTATTGAATTTTATTTTAAGAAAGCATGTAATTATAGTTTTAGCCTAAGTACAGTAACCTGAATGCTTTAATATTCTTTAGCTGAAGAGGAGGCGAATGAAGAAGATGTACTAGGAGATGAGACAGAGGTAAGTTGAAGAGAGGAAGGTGAGTTAGTGGCCTGACAGTGTGCCACTGCTTTGGCCACATTGCTTAACATCAGTCATTAGTGGACTTAGGTATAAAAAGGGAGTGAAGGTCTTGACAAACTGATTGATTTTGTAGTTCTGGTGTTATACTGTTGTGGATATTTACTCTTGATTTACATTAACCTTTTTGTTTCATTTGGATTTAGGAAGAAGAACCAAAGCCCATAGAACTGCCTGTCAAAGAGGAAGAACCCCCTGAAAAAACTGTTGATGTGTAACTATCTCTTTTTTATAATCTTAGTACAGAGCAGATAGTTCTATTAGATTCAGTATTTCGCTCTTACACATTGCCGTTGGTCTTTACATTCTGATTATATCACCCATTTTCAGAAGATTCTATTTCACTCCAAGTAGAAGCAGAGTAGTTTATCTCTGAGTTATGAAGTAGGTCGTTAGGACCAAGTGACACTTCAAGCCCAGATACAAGTTTAGTTTTCCTAGTCTTTATTCTTTTGTAGGATCGCCATAATAGATAAATGGTCTTGTTGTTGTTGTTGTTGTTATGTGCCGTGGAGACGAACCAGACTCATAGCGACCCCTCCTTGGGTTTTCAAGGCTGTATCACTATGGAAGTGGATTGCCCAACCTTCCTTCAGGGAAGAGTAAAACTATATGTAAGGAGTTTTGTAAGGGAGGACTATGTTGGGCAGAGATTGTCTTTCAAACAACATTACTGCCTCCTGCTTTTTTATTTACAGTGGAAGAGAGGAGGAAAGTATTAGAGTTGAAAGTGTGCCTCAGTTTATTTAAACTATTCCAACAAGGATAATCACAAACATCTTTTATTTAGGGTTCTTTGCACAAATGTCTGGCTATTTTACAGTCTAATACATTAAAACAGTTGAATCCTTGTATAAATTTTTGTTACTCATAGCTATATTAAGTCATTTAACTATAAAAGGCCTTACATACACTAGTCAGAAAGCAAACAGTATATACCAGACCAAACCAAGCTCATTGCCATCGAGTCGATTCTAACTCATAGCAAGACCCCCATTTGAGTTTCCAAAGCTGTAAATCTTTATGGAAGCAGACTGCCTCATTTTTTTTCCATGGAGCTACCAGAACCCAGTAACAGGCATTTATATTACTTTTAAGTAATATGGGTTCAAACCACTGACCTTTTGGTTCGTAGCCAAATGCCTTAACCGGTACACCACTAGAGCTCCTTAAATAGTATATAGAGGAATATATAAATAGAAAAGTCAGTATCCCTTGTCCCTACACCCATCTGACTTCCCAGAGGGTTTTAGTGTATCCTGGAATATTTTATATATGGTCTATGTGTGTACACTATGCATACTGTCTGTCTTGATTGTTTTTCATGTGGAGATCTTTCTATATCATCAAATTACACTAATGATAATAGTATAATCCTTATTGAAACCTTAGTTGTTATATGTTAGGCATCGTTTAAGTGTTTTACATGTGTTCTCTTTTAATCCTGACATCAACCCTATGAAGTAGTAATAATTATCCCAGTAAGTGGTAGGTCTCTTGATAGCTTGTTATTATGGAGAATTGCAATTATATACAAATGTTACAAAAAACGTATGGTGGACTCCCCACATACCCATCATCCAGATTTATTAGTTATGTGCTTAGAACCTTTTTCTTTCTAGCAGTTAATGGTGCGCCATTCTATGCATGAACAATTATTTATTTAACTAGTCTCCTGTTGATGGACATTTAGAATATTCATAGTAGCAAAAACATGTAGTACTACATATCTTTGTCCAGCTGTTTTTATACTTATGTAAGTATGCCCATGGGATACATTCTTAGCAGTAGATTTGCTGGAATAACGAGTAAGGAAATTGAAAGATACTGGTAATTTTGTGTTTTATAGGGATATAGTTGGTTAGGAGCTCTGGTGGCATAGCGCCTAAGGCATTTAACTGCTAACCAGAAGGCTCACCACTCCTCGGAAGGAAGATTGGACAATCTTCTTCCGCAGTGATACTGCCTTGGAAACCCAAGGAGAGGGGTCGCTATGGGTCGGATCCAGCTCAATGGCATTGGCGGTTTTTTTTGTTGTTTATAGTTATGATTAGATGAAGTTGCAGAAAGATTCTGAATCCCTCTAGTTTGGAGGGTGTTTTTTATGTGACTATGGGTAGAGATCGGAAGGAAGATGGGGCGGTCTACTTCCGTAGGGATACTGCCTCGGAAACTCAAGGAGGGGTTGCTATGAGTTGGGGCCGACTCCACAGCACATAACAATGGGTAGAGAGGGCAAGATTCATTCGATTATATTGTTTGAGTTTAATTGAGCCTAAAGGAATTGGAGGTGGTAGAAGGAAGCGTCCTCTCTGAGGTTCCCTTTCTGCCATGAGATATACAACAATGATTGTGCTGCTTCAAATGGGAATGTGGAGGAAGTCATTAACTTGAAGTTGGAGAGTATTGCTTTCTTAATGGCACTGGACTTCAAGTAAAACTTTCTTGTCCGTTTCTGCCTGAACAGGATGGAGAAGAGTAGGAGAGGAAGAATGGCCAGGAAATTTTCTAAATTTAGAAGAATTCAGAAATTTATTAAACTAAGATTATCCAGGGTTAATTTTAGGTCTTTTGAACATGCAGAAAGAGATCCCCTTTCTTCATCTGTAGCCTCAGGTTCTCCAGCAACACACCTCTGTTTCTAGTTCAGTTCTCTGCCTCACCCCCAGCTAAGACATTTAAATATTGTAGAACTTATTTATGGTCAGCAGGGGGCACCCATTTCTTGTCTTTCTGTCCAAGGACTACCAACAAAAGGTTGGAGGAGAGAATAAGTTCCTGTTCCAGAATTGCTTCCTCTGAAAATGTCATTAAACCATTACTACCTTTCAGGGCATCAAATGGGAAAAGTGTCCGGGGTATTGGAACAAAAGCCGCCCATGTCTCTAAATAAGGGACCTTAATGAGACTGGTTATGACCCACGGTTTTATGGGAGTTGTTTGATAGAGGGTTAATGCCCTTCCATTTATCCTGGGTACTTCCGAACTTTGTCACCCGCCCCTATGGTCCCCCCTGTTTTGTTTTCTCTTAAACCTTTTGACCAGTAACTTACCATGTTTTCCTAGCTCAAACTCCCCCTGGCCTGCTTCCTTCCCACCCCCTTTGACATTTTTATTTGTCCCACTTTGACTGTTTCAGCTGGAGCTACAGGCCCCATGGGGAAGTAAGGGATTTGTAAAAGAAGGAAACCAGGGCCTGTAGACCATTCATTAATGATTGTTGTGATGAAAATTGAGAACTGATATTTAAGTGAGAGTTGGAGAAGTAGACATTAGTGTAGAAGTAAATTAAAAGTTCATAAAAGTTAGTAGAATGGATAATGTTACCCTGTGAATATTCCCTTTCAGTGCAGTGTATTTAATGAGACTTGTTTCCTGATTTCTTAGATTTTAGATAAAGTAGCTTGACTGTTAATTTGAACTCTTAATAGATGCCACTTCAAAGAACCAAAGTTCTGATGGGCTTCATGGTTTGTTTTTTTTTTTCCAGATCAGGAGTTGGTGGAGAGATAATGGGGCAGAGGACATAACTTGGGTGAATTTTTATATAAGGTTTTGGTTTAGAATATCAGTGGTTTACTTTTTTTTTTTTTTTTTTAAAAAAAACTTCTTTTCCAGGGCAGCAGAAAAGAAAGTGGTAAAAATTACATCTGAAATACCACAAACTGAGGTAGGTATTGGCTTCCTATTATATTTATGTTTCCTATTAAATGGGCAGTCTCTACATTTATTTTTCTGTTCCTTACATTTTATTCTATTTGCATCATTATTTTTAAAAATTGCCTCATAGGCAGAAAATGAGCATTGTCAGATTTTCGTGTTGATACATTTCTCTACCAAGTAAATGAAAGTATTGGGGGATCATAGTGAGTAGTCACTTTTGAAGCTGTAGTCTTTTTTATATGTAATCCTGTGGTCTTAATGGTACCTCTTTCTAAGATGTTTACAAACCTAGGATTAGGAGTAGGAAGGATTGTGCTTTAGAGGAGATAAAAACTAAAAGAAAATTGTACTCTTAAATTGCTACTCACTAGCAGATGAGATTCACATTTCTCTGGATTCTGTCTCTAGTATCTCTGAAACAAGTTTCTAGTTCAAATCTTGTTTTCTATTTTGTTCCAGTAAAGTAGAGAATTATTAAACCCTTTTAGAATGACACAGGCCAGTACTGCCTCATTTTTGAACCACTGTGTTGGAACCAATTTGTTCTTTTTGAAGGTCAACCAAAATAGCTTTTGATTTGTTTAGAGTGTGAGTTTTATTTTATTTCATTACCTTCCTTTTGTTTTTCGCAGCATGAATATAATGTAATCTTTTTTTGTTTACTTTATGGAAAGGGCTATTGAGTTAAACTTTAAGATAGATAAAATCAGATAGCCTGTAGAATAGTCAGTATTCCCAGTTAAGACCTTAAGAAATTATTCCTGATGTTCTAAAGATACCTATCTCTAACTGATTTTTCTCTTAAAAGAACAGTTGAGTATTTTTCTTCCCCTTCTTTTATCTGTTATCACTTAGAGAATGCAGAAGAGGGCTGAACGATTCAACGTACCTGTGAGCTTGGAGAGTAAGAAAGCTGCCCGGGCAGCTAGGTAAGTGTCCCCAACCTTTTGGCTTTGAGATAGGTTTAGAGATAATTGTGGATTTTAAGTAAAATCGAGGCCTTGCTGAAAGGAAAGGAACACTTTCTTGACCCTGGTCAGACAAAAATCAGGAACTGACTTCTACTCCTAATTCTGATAAAGCTTCCTTTAGCTTATTCTCTGGATTTGTGGGAAGAAGAGCAAACTGAACCTTTTTCATGGAGTTGTTAGAATTAGCTAATGATTGCAAAGCTTGAGATCACAAGAAAGAAGTGCCATATGTACACTTGACACGGAGACAGACAATCAGGAGTGTGAACAGCTTCCTAAAATTTAGCATGTTTTTCTTTCTACAGATTTGGCATTTCTTCAGTTCCAACAAAAGGTATGAGTGTAGAGATTCTTCCGAGAATGTTCCTTTATGTTCTTTGTTTTCTGACACAACAGATTTCATTCTCCAAATCAGGGTGCACTTGTTTGCTTTAGAAGACTAAGAGGTTAGACCATTTACTTCTTTGCGGGGCATATAAGAGGAAAAGGTACTGAAGTTATGACAGGATAGGAGGAAGGGCCAGCATTTGTCTTCTCTGGGTTTTTTGGTATCTTCAGAGAAGTTTCTAGTGCCTTTCATGCTTGCTTATTCTAGTGAGGCAAATCAATGTATTATTTCTGTACATCTAACTAATGTTATGCTGGATAATATGCGTGATAAAAGGGAAAAAAAATTTCTCTTATCTAGCACTTGTACTTGTAGGAATTTATATTAAGGATATAATCTGAGATATGCTTAAAGTCTTAGGCACAAGAATTATCAAAGTATTGTTTATAGTGATCAGTAGTTGAAAACATAATATACAGTAGAGTACTGGTTAAATAAATGTGTCTGTTGATGCAGTGCCTAAGTCATTTGACTCCTAACCAGAAGTTTGGCGGTTCAAACCCACCAGGCACTCCGTGGCAGGAAGATGGGGCAATCTACTTCCGTAAAGATTTACTATGCACATCAAAAATGATTTGAAGAATCATTTGAAGATTTAACATTTGAAGAATATTTTTCAGAAAAATAAAGTGAAAAAAGCAAGTTATAAAACTATATTAACAATGTGTTCTCATTTTAATAATTGAAAGGTAGATATATGGATAGGAAAAAAGTATTTAAAGGCTTTATATCAAATTGTTAATTCTCAATTTCTTTGATTGGTGAGATTCTGGGTAACTTCTTTTTGTCCATATTTTTAAAATTTCTATAATGAATATGTTTTCGTTCTAATAAATTAGGGAAAATGTTAAAGTTATTGTTTTTAACATAACTCATGTTTTTAGGGACTTAAAATTTAAATGTAGTCTCTTACAATTCAGTTTTTCTAAGGACCAGTGAGTAGTGTTAAATGTGCTAAGAATATGTTCCTAAAGATCTTGTCATTGTGTTTTTGTATAGTTTTCTTGTCACAGTATTCTGCTGTGTTTTTTAAAAAAAACAACACAATTCTAACTATTATCATTAAGTATTTTAAATACAGTATATTTTCTGGCTGTCATTTGTGTTAAGAGAGAGACAGTAGTAAAGGTAAACAAAATGATTAAAGACATTATTAGGTAACTAATGCATAAAGACACTGTGTGCTGCTATTTGAGGAAAGATAAAAGCTAAAATTAGTACTTAGTGGGAAAAAGAAACTTGTTCAATAAAATAATGTATTGAGAACAGCAATTCAAAAGATGAGATAGGAACCTTAGGGGGCAGTGAGTTTTGTTCATGGGGGAGGAAGGAGTAAGTCAGAAAAGGAGGGTGAGAATGGTTGTACCACTTGAAGACTATATAATCAGTTTCACTGAATGGTACATGCAGAAGCGGTTGAATGGGTATATTTCACCATGTATATTTGTAACAACAGCAAAAATAGCTAAAAAATGTGTAGATAACATTTTGCATTATTATTCATATAATTCTGACTCCCTAAAACTACAGAGCTTCTCTTGAAAGTAATGCAATTAGGGAGAATTTTAAAAAGCAGTATTGTTCTTTAAATGAGTACTTAAAATACCTAACAGTTCCTAGTACATGGGTGGTGATAAAAGTTAAGTCCATATGGGAATGTTTACAGTGGAGAATTAAGGTATCAAGTATATGGTTGAGATTTCTTAAAATAAAATTCTGTAGTGTTTGAAGCAAATTATTATTCATTAGGTAAGGGTGGAGCCTACAGACATGTTTATTATTTGTTAATTTCAGAATAGAACATTGGCTGTAAGCAGCCATAATTTCAATTCATTGTGATAGTAGTTATGTTCTTTTGTTGAGATCTGATATCTCTTTTTTTAAAAGATGTATTGAGATATACATCTACCAAAGATTTTATTTAAAGTAGAGAAGTTGATTTTAATTTTTTTTTAGTATAGTCACAGGGTGTGCAATCATTACAACAGTCTGAGTTCAGAACATATCACCCCTAAAAAGAAACCCTGTCCTCCTTACCAGTTATTTCCCATTTCACTTTCCTCCAACTATAAGCAATCACTGATTTTTTTTCTGTCTGCATAAATTTGCCTGTTCTGTACATTTCACATAAATGAAATCATATAATCCATGGTCTTTTGTGAATAGCTTCTTTGACTTACCATGTTTTCATGATTATTTCATGTTGTAACATGTATTACTAGTTCATTTCTCTTTATTGCTGAGTAAGATTCCATTATATAGATACGCAAAACACCAAAACCGAACTCACTGCAGTTGCATCAGTTCTGACACATAGTGACCCCTCTTTGGGTTTCTGAGGCAATATCTCCATGGAAGTAGATTTCCCATTCTTCCTTCTGAGGAGTGGTTGGTGAACCTCCAGCCTTCTGGTTAGCAGTCAGATGCCTTAAGCACTATGACACCAGAGCTTTTTATATAGATACAACACATTTTTTAATCCATTCAGCAATTAATGAGCGTTTGGTTGTTTTCACTTTTTGAGTAATATGAAAAATGGCTGCTGTGAACATTTATGTGCACGTTGTTTGGTGTGGACATATGTTTTCTTTTGGGAATATTCCTGGGAGTATAATTGCTGGTTTAGTCAGTAACTTTGTGTTTAACTTTTTGAGGAACTTGCAATGTTTTCACAAAGTAGACTATTTTACATACCCACCAGTAATGATTGCAGATAAAATTTGTAGTTATAATTTCTGCCTTTTGTTTCTCATCATAAAGGACATTTGTTTTGTGTACTATTTCTGTGTTCTCCACTTTGATTTGAAGACCATCAATTTCATTTGTGACTTTTTAAAATATTACATGAAATGTTCTTACTTGCTTCCTTAGGCCTGTCATCAGACACCAAGCCTATGGTAAGAAATCATTTTTATCCCTGGTAGAACCAGATCTTCACTGTGTCAGTTAGTTTTAAAGTTGGGAGCTCCTCAATATCCCCAGATTTTAAGAAACACTGATGTAATATGAATTTGGTGAATGTTCATTTTCAGTACAGTGTTGTATATATCCTGAGTGAAAAAAAGTACTTGAGGTACTGAGAGGCCAGGAAAATTGCTACATCTTCAAAGTCACTTTTGATATCTTCCTTCCTACCATTTGTCTTCTTGAAAAGATAATGTGAAAAAGAAGATGAATAGATTTTGTTAGCTAGAGGACAATCCCTATAACTCTGTCTTATGGTCCTGGAGTTTTAGGCCTTTTCTAATGGCTTTGGATAATGGCTAATTCTTAATTAACACTAGAGAATCAGTAGGAAACAACTTATGAGTTCTATTTGTAGCTACTGCTATTTTTTAACACACCCATTAAATTTGACACATGGGGTGTCTTTGATGTAGTTTATTTGAACTCTTAGCTGTGGGCCGTAATGTCTGTGTTCTGTACTTCCTGTTCAGTTCTTTTCTTTCCTATGTTTTTGTAGGTTAACTTGGATAAACTGAAGGAAAGAGCTCAAAGATTTGGTTTGAATGTCTCTTCAATCTCCAGAAAGGTAAGGTATATTGGATAGCAGTATTATTTTTGCAATTTAAGAGTAGCTTGGGGCTACATAGGCAGGAGATGACTCTCCTGAGAATATGGCTGACTGTTCAGTACTTCTTTCACACAGTCCTTTGACTCTCATCTCCTGTGACTGGCTATTGATTACCTTACAAGAATTCTTCACGAGTTAATTATTTCTTTCTCATAGGCTGTTTCCATAGTTTCCATCCATGTTTGCCAACTCTTGACATGGTCTGTATTTCTCTCAGTTAAGATGTTGAATTCAGTGATATTAAAGATTGTTGCATTTGCTTTACCTTCTGATACAGTATGTAGAAAGAGTATAGGGGCATCATTTGACTTCCTCTAATTTCACAAGGGGGAAAGAAGATCCAGAACAAGATCAATAGCTCAAGGCTGATTCATATGAGGCAGATCAGATATCCCACCCCTCCTCCAGTGTTTTACCAATTCTGACACCAACTGTCCCTCCTAGTAGTACTCTGTACTTCTTCTGGGTTTGATAATTTATTGCAGTGGCCACACAGAACTCAGACAGTGCTCGTGATTATGGGGTTTATTAAGGAAGTAACTGAATCAAGATAACAGTTCTTTAACTTGGACAGCCTCTTTTCATCCATAGGCACGCTTCTGTTTGTCCTTGACCTCTGCTCTGCTTGGAGAAGTGTTAACATACAATGCATTTTTAACTCTATTGATAGCTGCCCAGAAAGGCACCCTATTTCACCAGCAAGGCGCTCAGCTCTCTCGCTCTGTAGGCCAGGAAGCCCACCACTCTGTCTTATGCTGGTCTTTTGGTTCTGCTCCTGCCATTTCTCTTCTGCTACTTCTCACCATCTCAGTGCGGGGATCTTGGGTTCAAGGATGTGCTCACTCCTGGCTTTTCTTTCTTGGTGGTAGTTAGATCCTCCCTTTCTACCTCTGGGATGGCTCATTTTAAGCCTAAAGAGATGGCAAATGAGACTATTCCCCACCTTAGGGTTCAATATGTACCTTATTTTCATGGTCCTACCCCCACAGGTGTGCCACATTCCTTATTCACATTATTAACAAACTATTAATCTATCTAATCTGGTGGAACTCACAAAGACTAGAAGGTCATAGTAATTCACTACATCATAAGTAATAGTAGAAATTACATAATCAAGAGAAGATGATTCTGTCTTTAAGTCAAAGGTGCCTGGAAACAAAATTTGGAACAAAAATGAGAAAGCTGTTGCATTGCTTCTGCCTCTCTGCTAACTGACACTATTTAGTGCATTAAGCAGGATGACTTTGTTGATGTAAAGTGGGGTGATCAGTTTTCCAGGGCATAGTTGCATTTGGAGTTTTATTAGGTACATTGGAGAAAATGATAAGGATTTTCCTATTTGCCTAGAGTAGGTGGTATGGTATCTTAATCTTGTTCTGTGAAAATGAGGAGGTAGAACATGTTTCTTGGTTGTTTCAAGAGGAAGCAGCTTAAGGGAAGACTGTTTCAAACCAGATAAACCATCACTTTAAAAAAAAATTATTTCCCACGTTAGTATGGAAGCATTTAGCTCTCTGAAAAGCCATTGGAAGAAATGACCTGACAGTGGTTAAGCTTTTGTTTAGGAGAAGAAACTAAGCACTAAAAAATAAACACTTGCTTTTTCCTTTCAGATTACATTTTTGATGTTTACTAAACATAAAAAATATATGTATATGACTTCAGGTCCATGTGCTCAGCACCTACCTTAGGTATTCAGTGGGAGTACTTGCTGGTTTGTGTGAAATAAGGAAATAAATAGTTGAGAGGTAGACAAGAGTACATGATTCCACACATACCAAATGCAACTTGATTAAGGAGAAGAATGATAAAAGTCAGTCATTTGTTTTGTGCTGGGTGGCCAAGGGAAATGGTGCTTTGGATTTGTGGCCCTGATTCTTAACTGTTTTTTTCCTTTATATATGAGGGCTAGGTGTCTGGGAATTCCAATGTTAACCACCCCATCTTCTAGGGAATGGTGTATGCCTGTGTGTTCCTTCAGAATTTACAATATTGAGCATCCTATCTCCTACTAGTCAGCTTATGTGGACATTATTACTGAAAGGAAGTTGTCCAGCAGTCCATACTGTCTACCTGAATTATTTTTACCGCATTTCATTTCAGAGATAACAGCCCTTTTTCTTCCTTTCCCTAGAATTTTTCTCCTTATTTGACCTGTTTTCATTTTTAGTCCATAAGAGCCTTAGTAAAACATGAAAAGTTACATTTATTAACCTTATAAATCTTTATTAATCTTGTTCTGTGAAAATGAGGAGGTAGAACATGTTTCTTGGTTGTTTCAAGAGGAGGCAGCTTAAGGGAGGACTGTTTCAAACCAGATAAACCATCACTTTAAAAAAAAATTATTTCCCACGTTAGTATGGAAGCATTTAGTATTTGAGCAAATACTAAACTTTTCTGAATCTCTTCTGTAAAACTGGGAGTAATACCAAACACCCTGGTTGTGAAGAGCAAATAATTACATATTTGAAATTACCTAGCATATTGACATTTTGACCCTCAATAAATGTTAGTTTTCTCCCATGATTCTGAATTCAGTTCTGTCAGTAAACTGGCTTTATGACTGTAATGAGTCATTTACCTTTTCTGTATTAGTTGATTATTGATAAGATTTCTTTTAATTCTCATTTTAAGTCTTTGATGGTGCAAAAACGGCAAGGAGGCCACATGTTCTGACCTCCTCTAACCCTACAAGGGGAAGGCAGGATTACCAGCAGTAACCCAAGGCCTATTACTGCAAGGCCAGACATGCTGCCTCCCTCCAGCCCTTTCACCAACCGTTCCTCCCAAGGGCACCCACCACCTCTCTCCTGGGTTCGATAATTCACTGCAGTGGCCACACAGACTCACGGATTATGGGTTTTATTAGGGAAGCACCAGGCTACAACTCATATTCAAGAAAAATGCTCAGTCTCTCTCCCAGCCCACCGTCCCTTGGCCAACAGTCTCTTACAGTCTCTCTCCCAGCAGCACTGGTCCCTCGGTGTCTCACTCAGCAATGCGTGTCTCTTGCGTCTCTTTCCCAAAAACGCCCGTCTCTTTCAGGGGCGCGTGTCTCTTTTGGCAGCACGTCTTCCTCAACCAGCAGTCAGAGAGAGTTCTGCCTCCAGGAAGCCTCCTTTTGAGCCCAGAAGGGTGGTCAAACTAACCAATCACAGCATCAGAACTCTAAGCACGTGAGAGAGAGTGGGCACCTCCCAGAACATTGTATTGTGCCACTCCCAACAGAAATAACCCAGGTGGATAGCTTCAGCAATCAGGGGCTGCTCAGTTGCTCATAGAAAATCCCACCTTGGAGTTTACAAAGACTTATGGGTAGAAAAGCCACACTAAGTAATTTACTACACCGCAGATGGGTTGTTCTCAGATAATGGTAATTGGCAGAAAGAACTGTGCCTTTGCACTCCATTCTCTAATAGTGTTCATTGTTTACTAGTATATATGTATTTTTTATATGTTTAAAGTATTACTTTGTAACTTACCTGTTGCAAAAGAAAAAAAATTGTATTTTTTGCAGACTGCTACTTCTGTAAAATATAATAAAAATATCACAGCAATGTTAAATTGCTTTGGAAGTCCTAAAAATTAATGTCTGGACTTACTGCAGACTAGTAACAGTTTGGGATCCAACACCAGTAGGCAGACCATGTTTTGAGTAGCACTATACTATAGTATAGGAGTTCTGGTAGAGTAGTGCCTAAGGCATTTGACTGCTAACCAGAGTCTGGTGGTTCAAACCCGCCAGCCACTCCTTGGAAGGAAGGTTGGGCAATCTACTTCCATAGTGATACCACCGCAGAAACCCAAGGAGGGGTCACTGTGAATCAAAATCTACTCAACAGCAGTGAATTTGGGTTTTTTGTTTTTTTTTTGTACTGCAGTATATATGGTTTCTTCCAGTGACCATTTGCTTGGAGGTTTGTAACTTTGAGATTTCCTGTTTGACTTTGTGTAGGTCTTATTTATAGTGGTCACAAATCTCAATATTTAGAATCATTTTAGTCTCAAAAGTTTGCTCTAATTTTCCCCATAAACCATTAAAATGTCCTAGGAATGCTGAAACTTTGCTGTCTGAACCAGCACTGTCCAATAAAACTTCCTGCAGTGTTAGAAATCATCTATAGAACAATCTCATTGTCTGCTGTACCAGTCATTAGCCACATGTTGTTACTGGTACCTTGAAATGTAGCTAGTGTGACTGAATTGAATTTCTAATTTTATGTTGAAATAACTATATGTGGCTATTGTCTTTTGTATTGGACAACTCAAGTCTAGTTGATGTCTCTCACATTGCTTTCACACTTGGAACTAGCATAGACATCCTTTATCAGAGCATGTGTTTGAACCACTGTTTCTGTAGCCCAAAATTTTGTGTAGTACTTGTAGAAAATGTAAGTAGTTTCAGAGTGAATCTAGGAGAGGAGTTGGAGGAAAAGGTCTAAGAGATAGGAAAAGGAAAGGTTCTGTGTTTCAGGTCACTTTGAGAGTTTAACAATGTTCTAACCCCAAATCCTGAAATTGCAACTGGCTACATTCAGTCTAAGAGTTGCCTAGTTCATAGTCTTGTGCATGACAGTCCTCTGTAATCAGAGATGAATTGCCGAACAAATACCTAGTATTTATTTGGTTCGCTAAAGACAGTGACATGATTAAACTTGTATTTATTGAATCAACACACTTATGGGGTTATCTGGGGTTTTTAAGTTTTAGTATCTCCTCTTCCTATATAATTAGATCACCTCTCTTTGAGCTTTATAATACTCTAGGCATAGATCTCATTTGGTTTGGTATGGTACAAATAGTACAGGCTGGTAGGTGGTGTGAACTTTTTTCTTTATCCAGTATCCTAAATAGAAAGACATCTCCTTTGCACAGACTTTGTGTTTGTTTGATCAAACTTAAGGCGCTGATTGATTGCTGATTCCTTTCAGTAGACTCTGCTGCAGATCAGTATATAT